TGCTTCAAGCTCACACTCATTTGCATAGCCAAATGTTCAATTACATAAATTCTGTGTCGCTCATGTGTGCAACTCAGCTAGGCATACCAGACATAGTCCACAGCCATGGCAAGCCAATCACTCTTCCTGACTTGGTTTTAGCACTTCACATCCCACCAAACAAAACTAGTTGCATATACCGGCTCATGCGCATGTTGGTGCAATCGGGCTTCTTTGCCACCACAAAAGCCGCTGATGGTCATGGAGGAGGAGGAGGAGAAGCCTATGTTCTAACCCCACCTTCCCAGCTACTTGTCAAAGATAACATCAATTGCTTGTCACCGTTTATGTCATTGATTAACCCAGCATTTGTGACACCATGGCATTCCTTGGGAGATTGGTTTCGAGGAAGTGAGCCCACTGCATTTGAGCATGCATATGGGATGGCATTTTGGGAGTACAATAACCAAAATCCTGAACTAAACCGCCTTTTTAATGCAGCAATGGCCTGTGATTCTCAGATGATGAACTTGGCTATTAGAGACTGTAAGCCAATTTTTGAAGGGTTGGATTCAATGGTTGACGTAGGAGGTGGTACCGGATCACTTGCCAGGATCATATCCGAGGCATTCCCTCATATGAATTGCACAGTACTAGATCTTCCACCAGTCATTGCTAACTTGGAAGGCACCAAGAACTTGAATTATGTAGGAGGAGATATGTTTCAGCATATCCCTTCTGCAGATGCAGTCGTACTTAAGGTATATCCTGCTCTCTGCACTCAAACATTACTCTTCCATCTAAGAATTTGACTATTATGTCCAGCTTAATTATCTTGCATAAACATGTACATGAAGCCAACTTTCTTAGTCAGCTGATGCTGAATCAATTTTTGGCAGTTAATTTTTCATGGTTGGAGTGATGGGGATTGCTTGAAGATACTGAAGAAATGCAAAGAAGCTATTTCGGGCAAAGAAAAGAGGGGAAAGGTGATCATAGTAGATGTGGTGATAAACGAGAAGAAAGATGAGCATGAATTAACCGAAACGAAGCTCCTTTTCGACATGCTGATGATGGTTGTGGCTGCTGGAAAAGAAAGAAGTGTCAAAGAATGGGAAATGCTATTCTTGGAGGCTGGTTTCAGTCAATACAAGATTACACCATTATTTGGTTTAAGGTCCCTAATTGAAGTTTATCCCTAGGATGAAGAAACTATGTATTGGAAACTAGATAGTATGATTGTTGAATAAATCTTTTATCCTTTGGATGAAGAAACTATGTATTGGAAACTAGATAGTATGATAGTTGAATAAATTTATGTATCCATATTCCATCTACTTGAGACATTGTTGTGATGGCACAAGCCCCAAGTACCAACCATCTATGTTGATCTATTAAGCATCAATTCAAGATTAATAATATCCTCAAAGTTGAGCTTGAATGGCTTGATCAAGGCATTATGAAGTATGCATGACTCCGGCATAAAATTAATGGCACTGCACCAAAAATTGAAGTGCATTTTTGACATGCCACAATATTAAGACAATGTTACTTTTCAGAGAAAAAGACCAGCATTTCTGTTGCTTCTCGTATTCTATTCTTCCAACCCCACAACAGAAATTCTTACCATTATAAACATGGTTAGCTAAAGATTTTTGCTTTTAATCCTGGTCTTGTTACGGCCAAAGAGAATAAAATCGACCTTTTTCAATGACCTTGAACTATCCTGGAATGTTCAAATTAAGAGGGGAAGCAACAATGTGTAGATAAACGTTAAACTTTATTGGGTGGTGAAATGAGTGGATCGAATTCAAGTTGTTTTTAGCTCTGTAATGAAACTGAGTTGTTGAATCACTTGCAGTTGCTAGAAAATCACACGGAATCTGCAGGACTATTTCCTCTTGGAGAATACAAAAAATTTTCTGCATAATACAACGTCTTTACTTTGGGGACTACAACTTGATGCCAGTCAACCTAGAGAGTCGCTGAATTTATTTTCCACCAAACATCTTTAATTTTTCTCCTCAGTTACCTTGTCTAGGAGTCGTCATTTGTTTGCAGCAGAGTAGATATCATCCTTAACGTGAATTGGAACGCCACACGGCACACATTTCAAGTACTATTTGCAGTCAAGTCCTGCAGCTCTAAGAAATAAAGAAAATCCTGGAAATTCCCATATTTGAATGGAGAAATATTCTTGATTCTTCACGCTGTCCATGAAAAATAACAAGCTACATGAAAAGTTGATGAAAAAACATGGCTTGTGGAATGAGTATTCCTTTTTTTGATTTATTAACCAAACACTACCTGTCTAATTGAAGCCCAAATTGTTGACTTTGCACACCTGGTTTTTACTAAAATTATACTATTGTCGTCTTGTTACGTCTACCATAAGTGATTCTCCTTGAGCAAACTTTGCTAACCATCCTTAAGAATGATAAAAAGACTAGATCAAAAGGAATAAGAAAATCGATGATTCCGGTCTCTTGGATTTGGTGAGTCAAGAGGCATTTCTTGAGCTCAGCCTACCCCTTTTTTCTACGCCAATCTTTTTCAAACTATTTTGTAATTTCCAACTTCCAAGTTAGTTTAGCGTCTTAATTGCTCAAGTAGTAGTTTCTGACGAAATGGAACTTATTCGTTAACCTTTCATCCACGTAATGCACAGTGCAAGAGTCAAGAGGACATTATAAGAACCAACTGCATAAGAACGTTTTGAAAGCAAATAAGGTAGAGAGTGGAGACCTGCAAAACAAGATGGAGGTAGATCAAGGGTATGGAGTTAGTGAGATGTTTAAGGCTCAGCGTCACCTGTATAAACATATTTACTACTTTATAGAATCAATGTCACTGAAATGTGCTGTTCAGCTAGGCATACCTGACATAATCCACAAAAATAACCATCCCATTACCCTTCTAGAGTTGCTTTCAGAACTCAATATTCCTATATCAAAAGCAAATTTCCTGCAGCGCCTTATGCGCATACTAGTGCATTCTGGTTTCTTTGCTACAATCAAAATCCCTGAGAATCAGGAAGAAGAAGAAGAAGAAGGTTACGTTCTCACTTCTTCTTCTAGGCTTCTGCTTAAAGATATTCCCACCAGCTTGTCCCCAGCTGTTCTAGCAATGCTAGATCCTGTTTTAATGAATCCCTGGTTTTCTCTCGGCGAGTGGATCCAAGGGAAGGAGCGCACACCGTTTGAAACTTACCATGGAATGAACTTTGGTGAATATGGGAAGAGAAACCTCAAATTCATCAACAACTTGAATGAAGCAATGGCTAGGGATTCTCAATTGGTGAGTCTTGTTGTTAAAGAGCATAAGGACATTTTCAAGTCGGTGGATTCATTGGTTCATGTAGGGGGTGGCAAAGGAACTCTTGCTAGGAGCATAGCGGATGCATACCCTCATATGAAATGCACAGTCTTGGACCTCCCACAAGTTGTTGCCAACTTGGCAGAGAGTGAAAAATTGAAATTTGTTGGAGGTGACATGTTTAATTCCATCCCTTCTGCAGATGCAGTTATCATCAAGGTAAGCATACCTGTTTGTCTTTGTTCATTATTTGGTTCTTAATTTCATCAATTAACAGACATAGCAAACAAAAAAAAATTGAAAACATTCTGGTATAATATAAAAAAAAAAAATTAAGGACAACAGGGAAGAAATGTTCTCCTTTCTTCAGTTTTTTAACGGTGACATAACTCTTTGCAGTCAGTTTTGCATAACTGGAGTGATGAGGACTGCATAAAGATTCTGAAGCGATGCAGAGAAGCAATTCCAAGAAAAGATGATGGAGGAAAGCTTTTACTCGTAGAAATAGTGATTAACGACAAGAAAGATGAACATGAATTGACCAAAACAAGGCTCTTTGTTGACATGGAAATGATGCTTATATGCAACGGAAGGGTAAGAAATGAGAGGGAATGGAAAACACTCTTCCTGGAGGCTGGCTTTAGTCACTACAAGATTACAGCCACATCTGGGTTAAATTCTGTGATTGAGGTGTATCCCTGAGAAGTTGTTTCGGGTTCGGGATGTTATTTTTCCCCTTTCTAGATTAATATGTGTTCTAGTTTGATATGATAGTACTCAAGGGAACAATGTCATTTTAGCTTGATGGATTGCCATAATCTCTGTAGCCTCGGAACTTAATGTATCTGGGTTCAAAATGTGTATTTATGTACTGCCCCAATAAAATAAGAGATGCAAGATAGGGCTATGTGTTACTATCTCATTCTCAATGTTTTTCAGAAATCTATTTCCAGCAGCCTCTTCTTCTTTCCATTTGCAACAGTTTTCCTACATCAGTAGCATCTTAGATCACATCAATAGGCAAGCACTGGCTAGACAGCATTCATTTTCTTCTTGACAAATGTTTTGTCTCATCTTGGCTAGCTTAAGACTTGTATGTACAGAGAGAAATATGTGATTCCATTACAGCCAATGCGCATACATCAGTCAGACAAAAGCAAACTGACAACATTCTTATTGGTGCCGAAATGAATTGTCCCCCAATAATTGTGCATGCCTGAACTATTAAAGAATATGTGAAGATATGTATCTAGTTGAGATGAGGGAGGGAAGTTGACCACCATCAATTTAGTGATAAATGAGAATTAACAGGCGTTGAAGAACTAATTAAAAATTATGGCTATCATTCTTTCTACTAGAAAAGTTATTAGAAAGCACGAAAGAATATGGCTTAACCATTTGCTTGGAGGCTGGTTTGATTGTCCAAGACTCCAGTCTCCAAGGCATATAATTGGATATCCTCTTGGTAGTTACTCTTTAACAAATAACAATTCTCTAAGCATCCTCAAACTGTTAATTCTAATGTTCTGCCTACTTGGCCATGTGAGTGGGAAATGAAAGATTGCACGTCTTCTTATGAAACAACATCAAGAAAACCAAGAAGGATCCTTAAATTTAAAGCTAATATAAACGGAACAGAAATTTGAAAACAGAACTTCAGACCTGAAACCCTTTGAACTCCCTTGTTTTTACTTATCAAACAAAGAATGTTAAGCGCTAGCATAGATTTCCATAAGGAGTACCTTGATTTGGTCTTAGTCCCTTGTGGGCTGCTGATCATGTTTGTCTATCATCTGTTCCTTTTTTATAGATACCACAAACATCCTGGCACAACTATCATTGGCCTAGAGAACAAGGACAAGAAACTTTGGGTTCAAAGAGTTTTGCAGGTCAGAGTCTCCCTCCCTTGTTTCCCTTTTGTTCCTTAAACCAAAATTAATTTTGCTTATTTGTTCTTTGGTGGATGCAGGGTGCTGAAAGTGATGTTGACAGAGCTGTAAATGTGATTTCAAGCGACACAAGTATAGCAACTTACTTAGCCTCAGTCTCTCTTACTCTCAGCTCTCGTATTGGAACTTGGCTTGGAAGCAGTTCTTCCAATAATATCTTTGAAAGCAAAAGAATTTATGGTGACACAAGGCCATTCTCCATTTTCATGAAGAACATATGCCTCCTCGTCGCTTTTCTTATTGCTTTTTCATGTTTTGTTCAAGCAGCAAAGAATTTGGTTCATGTAAACTATTTAATGAGCTCCCCAGACAAGAAAAGGACAGGGAAGAAAATTGAGTTTGCGGTTACAAAAGGGGGTGATTTTTCCTTCTTTGGACTCAGAGCTCTTTACTTTGCTCTTAACATGCTTCTTTGGTTTTTCGGTCCAATACCCATGTTCGTTGCCTCTATTGTCATGGTGATAGTCCTATATTACCATGACATTCATACAGTTTCATTGCATAACCTCTATTGTGAGCTAGATGGTCAGAAGGGAAAGACACAAGGCGCCGGAGGCAGCTTTAGCTATTGAGAATGGTCACCAGTAAAGCTATTGGTTCAGAGTCCAAAATGTTCATCCATCCCAAATGAATATCCATAGGATCGACATCAAGACTGCATTAAGTACGGGGCAATTTGTTCATTTATATTTACAAAAACGTCTAAAACATCAATCTGTCCACCTCAGTTGCGTATATCTAACAGTTTCATCCCATCTTGTTTTCTTGATCGTTCCTCTGGTTTGGTTCCATGTTAAGCCCACCTTCTTGGTTTTAATAGTCATGTTGCATTGTAGAACCATGCACATTTACAGTAATTATTCCATTGATCCATTTTGAGGAGAGAAATAAACATTGAATTACATCCAGACCCATCAAAAATCATAAGAAGATTTTCACATTTGCTTAATTTTTTTTTTTAATTTTCTCTCTTTTTTTTTTGTATACATCTCTCTTCTCAAGATGAATCCATAAAGTAATCTGCCGTACATATCACTAATTACTCCTCGTGTATTATAAATTTTCTCGCAATTGTGATGCATTGCTGCTTATTACTATTGATTCCTTATAAGAAACTAACCTGCCACAACACAGGCCAGTTGACTAATTAATTTCTATTAATTACTGCAATTATCAATCAACGGTCAATGTTCACATTGCCTTATTTCAATAAAAGTGAGATTCAAGCAACTGACAAAGTAAAATAACGTTTATTGTATGGAAGCAATTAGCTGGGGATCAATACAAGGATTGTATAACTTATTTAAATTTCTCTCTATGTTTCTGGTTGGAGTTCAATTATTTTTTTATTAATGTTAGTATTAAATTTTAAGCCAAATCATCATTCTGCATTATCAATTTTAGAGATGGATGTTATGTATACGGTTTGTATTGGCAAAAAGTGGTAAAGTCGTCTTAGCATTAGTTTCTATCACGCTAAGCAATGTTTCGAATTTGGAAGTCTTTGGTTGCCGCCAGTAGGTAGACATTAAATTTGTTCTATTTTGCACGCCAAGCTGCATTTTTATCAACCTCCTTGCCTAATTTTCTTCCTTCAAAGTCATAGTTAAAAATGGAAATAGAGACAAAGGACTTCCATTTCCCATTAATTATATTATAAAGTAAGGCTGCAGGTAGAATCATAGGATTGAGCGTGTTCCAATTTTTAAAAAATTTTGACAAATATGATATTCGAGCCTAAAACCTTACTCATTTTTTTTATGCAATTGTAATGTTAAACTACAAGCTCATTGCTAACAAATATGTCTTTTAGTGTTAGAAAATAATATAAATCATATCTTGGGATCTTACCTAACGGCTTAAGCTTTTAGATGAGATGGTCTTTTAATATGATATCGGAGCCTTGATGACTAAACGATCGTGAATTCGAATCTTACCACCTACAGTTGCATGTGTTTGCATGCAGTTGGAGCTGAAAAATAGGCTTGAAGGGAGGCTTGTGTGCCCAAAAATAGGATTAGGTTGAGATAAGAAGAACAATGAGACAGCACAAATGAATAGTGATTCGCATATATTATTCTGCTTCCTTGTGAAAGTTATGCTCTATATCAACATATCACGATAATTAATAATTAATCTTGATAATTACTTAGCATAATACCATATTCCCCACATGGTCAGTCCTGGATCCATCTAGATTGCTACTGGTCTTTGCAGGCTGCAACCCCTTAAAGAAAGTAAATGCATGCCTTGAATACTGGCATTGACAAATCCTCGACTAACTGGAATTTATAAGCTAGATAATTAAGATTCAAAAACACTAGCTCTTCTGCTCTTTTACCATGAACTTCCAAAAGGAGCACCTTGATTTGGTTTTGGTCCCTTGTGGCCTTATGATCATGATGGCTTATCACCTCATCCTTCTATACAGATGCCTCCATCTTCCCCACACTACAACCCCTGGCTTTGAGAACAATGACAAACGTGCTTGGGTTGAGAGAATCATGCAGGCTACTCTCTCTCTCTCTCCCCTTATTTTTTGTTGTGATTTAATCCCAACACAGGTTTCATTTTGCTCACTTACATATATATGGTTTATACTTGCAGGCTCATAACAACGATGTCGATAGTACAGCCCTAGCTGTGATTGCATCCAATACATCAGCAGCAACTTTCTTAGCTTCAGTCTGCTTAACTCTCGGCACTCTTATAGGTGCTTGGCTGGGAAACTCTTCTAAAAGTGTCTTTCAGAGCAAGTTAATCTTTGGTGACACAAGCGAGTCCACTATTTTCATCAAGTACATAACCCTCCTCGCTTGCTTTTTCCTAGCTTTTTCATGCTTTGTTCAATCAACAAGGCACTTTGTCCACGCGAATTATCTGATAAGCATGCCAGATAGTCACATACCTGTGAAAAATGCAGAGAAGGCAGTTATAAGGGGAAGTGATTGTTGGTCACTTGGACTTAGAGCACTGTATTTTGCTCTTAATTTGCTGCTATGGTTTTTCGGTCCAATACCCATGTTTGTTTCATCTGTTATAATGGTGATCATCCTCTATTGTCTTGACACCAATTGGACTCCGTTGCATGAGCATAGGCCTCTGGGGAACAAGGTGGTCTAAAGGGTACCTTGTGAGGGGTATACTATCGATATTCGCATCCTGTTTTATACAAGGTCAGTCTAATTGATCTCAAAATAAATTTTTTTTTTCCAAAAGAGATATTCAAACTAAATGAAAAATACTAACGTCAATCATTGGTACATGAATCATTGATGATACCATTAATTTATCCTCTTGAATTTTCCAGCGGAATTGAATTCTATTTAGTCATTTTGGTTATGTATGCTTTAATGAATTGAGGAGAAATTTACAAATTATATGATTCATATCATTAAATTGTTCAAAAAGTTCTTACAAGCATGGTCAATAGCTAAGAAAGATGGAAAATATAGATACAAAGTTTGACCCGCAGCCAAACTTCTCTAATTCAATTTTCAATCTCATCTCCGAATGGCCAAGATATCTCATTTCAGTTCAAAAGTTGGAATAAAAGGATTCAATTCTTTCTCGCTGCCAGTCTCAGTCATTTAAGAAATCTAAGCAAAATACCAGCCGAAACATCCCTGCCATATCAAATGTGTTCCATTCCCTTTTGAAATAAAATGAAAAACATAAAGCTATTTAATATGCCCGGAAAAAACACTCCACACGTGTCCATCTACTATAGTTGCTTTTGCAACCACAGGGGAATCACGCAGAGTCCAAATAAGGGTAGGCTCTCACCGGTCGGCGGCTGCCCATTCTCCCGTTATAGTGATTTCCGACCCGAATGGCATGAAAGAGTACTAACAAGACCAGCCGTAAATGAAAAATCATTCCACACTCAAAGAATACGGTTTACGCTAGGAGAAAAAAACATTTTTCTGAAAAGATCACCATGTCAGTCAGAAGACAAAAGATACCAGACCCTCCTTGCAAGAAAGTGTTGGACAGTAATTGTTTTTGTTTTTTTTCAACAAATGTTGCAACTCTACATGCATTTTCTTCAACAAAAATAACTTTACATGCCCTACATACAATCTTCAAAAATTATTGCTTTGACATTCAACAATTGATGCTCCTTCCACAATTACTGCTCCTTTGCATGGGTTGCATGCAATGTTTCTTCAACAATTACTGCACCTTTGAATTTTGATTCAAAGGTGGCGGGTCCAACATGGGCAGGGCCCATCAATTCTACCCCTCATGCCCATTGGGAGGGATTGCCATTTCGACATCTGAATGATTGTGCTCAAATTTTTCTTTTGGTAGAAGTTTTGTCAGCATGTCAAATCCATTTTCATCGATATGGATCTTCTCAAGCTGTAGCAACTTCTACTCCAGTACATCCCTAATCTAGTGATCTGGAATGAAAAGAGAAATTCTTACCAAGATGAATAATGCTGTAGCTATCACAAAATAGCTTATATTTGTCTTGCTAAAATCCAAGTTCTTAAAGAAATTTCTTCATCCATGGCAATTCTTTACAAGCTTTCGTTGCAACAATAAATACAGATTTGGCATCACCAAAGCATAAGCATAATCTGAATATACCTTGAAGATGTCTAAAAATCCACTTTACTGCTACCCAATGTTCTTTTCTTGGATTGGAAAGAAACCGAGTCAATATGCCAATAGCATAAGCAATATCTAGTCATGTGCACTCCATTATGTACCTCAAAATACGAACACTTGAAGCATAAGTAACTCGTTCCATCTATACCTTCTCTTTCTCTATAGAAGGACTTTACTGGCACTTAATCTAAAGTGATTACCAAAAGGACAACTAATCGCTTTAACATTGTTCATATTGAATCTTGGAGTTACTTTCTTAATGTATTTCTCTTGTGATAACCATCACTTCCCGGCATTCCCGTCTCAAATGAACTCGCATGCCAAGGATCCGCTTTGTTGGCCTTAAGTCTTTTATGTCAAAACACTTGCTCAATTGCTTCTTTAGTCTATCATTTCGAGAAGTATTTTTGGTAACAATTAACATATCATCCACATAGAGCAAAAGAATAATGAAATCATTGTCAAAGAATTTTTGCACAAAAACACAATGGTTAGAAGTAGTCTTCTCATAGCCTTACTCCTCTATAATCGACTCAAACTTCTTGAACCATTGTCTCAGTGCCTATTTCAATCCATAAAGACTTTTCTTCAATTTATAAACATAGTCCTCTTTTCATTTTTTTCTTGAAACCCTCTCGGTTGCTCCATTATATCTCTTCCTCCAAGTTTCCATGAAAGAAGGTTATATTTACATCCATCTCGCTCAACCTCCAAATCAAGGCTTATTACTATGCTTAGTGTTGTGCGAATTGATGTCATCTTCATCAATAGAGAGAAAATCTCATCAAAGTCAATACCCTTTCCTTGTTTGAATCCTTTGACAACTAGTCTAGCTTTGAATCATAAAACTCGGGTTTTTTTGTTCATGCTTCACCATAAACACCCACTTATTCTCACCAATCGAACGGTTTTGTTCTCATGCAAGGACTTGATTTCATCTTGCATAGCATTGATCCATTTCTAATTTTGTTTATCATTTATAGCTTCTTCAAAGCTTTCTAGTTCTACTTCATCACTCAACAACATAAATTGATTATGAGATGACAAGTTATTTGGGTGATCCGAATTGATCATGTCGTTTGTGTCTTAGGTTGACTTAGGTCCTTGTATATTAAGTTTTATTTCAATTATTCCATTTAGATGTATCATTGTAGTCTTTATACTTTTGATTTTTTTCAATTGGGTCTTTGAGTCTCATAATTTTAATCTTAGGATTTTCAATTGTACCCCCAATTGTTTTAATCTCAATTCTATTTGATTTAATTATGCCCTTAATATAATTAATTTTTTTGTATTTTGTATTATATATATATATTGCATTTTTTATTCTTTTTCTTTTTTTATGGTAATAGATTTCAAAATAAAAATGAAAATACAAACAGATAAACAAAAAGGTAACAAAATAAAATCAAGTCAAAATCTAGTAAACATAAAAAAGTAAAAAGAGATAAAAAATTTTGAGAAAATTTGGGTTATGACAATAACCACCATAATTGTTAATTTTGTTACTAAGAAAGGTGTAAGGGCCACCCTCATGACCCATTGCCACCACTTGCTTTCTTCCATCGCCAGTAAGGACGACTTTGTATTCAAGAGGAACTAAGAGATTGCTAATAATTTAGAACTCCCTCCTAGCATTTAAAGTAGCTTCATTTACCTCTCTCACTCTTTCAAGGTCAACCATTGAAGGATTAAAGAAGTTGCAAAGAAAAAAAGAAATTCTCAAAAAAAGAACAACAAAGGAAAAGAAAATATCTTCAAGAGTAAAGAAGACTCGGATAATTTTGAAAAAACTAAAAGAAGACAAATGACATCAAGTTATTTATATTCATGAAGATTAGGGAAAACCAATAGCCCAAATGGCATCTCAAAAGCCAATCATCACCTAACAAGTGTCCGGATAAAGATCAAAGACAAACATGATGTAGAACTCTAAATAAAAGATAAAATGCTACATATGTTGAAAAACCCCTATGCGTGATCGATTAGGCTTTTCACATAGAAAAATCATTATTACAACTCTGTAAAGCATTTAATAAAGGCATTCATATGTCAATAATTGTCCAATCCAAAAAAGACATGTAAGCATTAGACAAATGCCTATAAAAAAGATGCCAAAAAACCTAATATAAATCCAAAAACAATTCAAATTTGCCTAGATCTATCACTTCACATCTTTTCCATCTCATAAATTAAACACTCTCCTCTTATCCGAAAGGCACTAAACACTATACAATTCAAAAAAGACACCATTCACGATTTACATTGTCGCTACGCGACGTCTGGACGGGACCCTCCCAAAAGAAAAATTTAAAAGTAGTTCGGGTGTTGATTAATCAAAATTATTTACGAGTTTTGGAGTCGCCACCTAGTATTTAAGGAACTAGGAACCTAAAAGTAGCACTCGGTTCGGAGATTCTTAAGATAAGGAGTTGGTTACGCTTCTAGGAAGATATTAAATCACCTAAAAGCGCCCTTTTCGAAAAAAGGTACCATGTGGGGTTTAGTTCCGAATTATCTCCTAAAATCTATGTCAAACTATTTTCTAAATTTTAATCTCCTATCTTTTAGCCTAAATAATTTTTTTGTTTTGGCGTGGCATCATATTGAAATGATCGTCGGTCCCCTTCGTTGGGTGACACGTCGATTCAAACATCGGATCCACTAAAAGGCCTTGACACAACCGGCGTGTCGGAGGACGTCTTGATTAAAAGGTGATTTTTGTATGGCGTCGGTCCCTATCAAATAGGAGACATCGCCAAATTTTTTTTTTTTTTTTACGACGTCGGTCCCTATCGGATAGGAGATTTCTTCAAAATTTTATATTTATTTTTATTTTTTAAAAAAAACAACGTATATTAAAGAATAAAAAAATTGAAATAGCAATTCTAAATTAATATAAAAAACAAACGACAAGGAATAAAAATAAACAAGGCTAAAAAAAATAATAAATCATGAAACAAAACAAAGCTAAAAAAATAAAAAAATAAATCATAAAAAAAATCATCCTATATAAACAGTAAAAAAATAAATGAAAAAATAAAAGCAAAAAAAAAATATATCCTATACCTAAAATATTAACCCACCACTTTTACTCTTTTTTTATTTTTTTTACACCCATCCCTATTTTTCCTTTTTTCTTCTTATTTTTTTTCCTAACTCTCTTTTTATTTTTCATTTCCCCCCCCCCTTTTTTTTTTTTTTTAAGAAAGGGCGTGGTCGGGCCCCTCTTTTTTTTGGATAAAGGATGCGGTCAGGCTGAAATCAGCCCAACCTCTCTTTCTTTCTTTTTTTTTTTTTTGCATCGACTGGCTGGGTCGAAATCAGCCCACCCCTCTCGTCTTTTTCTTTGGGCCGCGGGTCGGTTCGGAACTTAAGCCCGAAAACGGACTCGTTTCTTTTTTTTTTAATTTTCGGATCAAAAACCAAAATTTTTCAGTTTTAAACTTTCTCTCTCCTGTTCTTCGTGTTCTTCATTTTCTCTCTCTAGTTCTTCAAATTTTCCA